GAGAAGCGGAAAAGTTCTTTGAGCATGCGCAAACAGTTTTTTTAAACCCGTTCTCCAATCAGAATTTTTTGCGCATGCTCAAAGAACTCTTCCGTTCCTCCTAAGCGCAAATAGTTCTGAATGGAGAACAAGCTTTAAGGCGAGTTTCCACTCATCCGTTTTTCTACGGGAACGGAAAAAATAGTTACGTGAGCATGCGTAATAAAAGATTTTATTTGTCCGAAAGGAAACTGCGCATGCTCACGTGATTATTTTTCCCTTTCCCGTAGAAAAACGGATGAGTGGAAATTCGCCTTTACCATTGAATTACACACACACAGCTGCCCGGTGGGAAATGAGCTAGCGACTAGCTAGCGACTAGCTAGCGACTAGCTAGCTCTATAGCGATTTTCTAGCGATTTTTTTTTTCTTATTTTATTTTTTGCAAATGTCTTTAACATCTTTAAAAATTCGATTTTTAGTGTTGAGTCTATTATAACTATGAAAATAATTGAACTGTAAACATTGCGATTTTGTAATAATGTGTCGCTAGCTACATATCGTAGCTTTGTAGCTAGCTACAAAATATCTACAAATCTATACCTGGTTGATAGCTACATATCAAAAAATTTTAGACAACGGTTTTATTACAATATGACGCTAGGTACAATAGCCAGTGGATCTTCAGCTTGTTAAGCTAGCTGTCCTCGTTGCCAAATCGCTGTCTTTATCTTTACAAAAATCGATAGCTTTTCGCTAACTTAAAAAAGCTAGCGATCCTCGTGGCCAAATCGCTGTCTTTATCGTAACGATTATAGCTAGCTATTCGCTAGCCGACTTCCCACCGGGTGATATATCAGCTTATATCGATATAAAATTTACCACAAAAAACAAAAACAAAAAAAACTTAGTGACAAAGTTTATTGCGAAAAAATATTAACGTTTTCATAATCATTTCACGTTTTCAACACAACGCTGAAACCTATCAGTCTGATAGGTTATAAATAGTTATGAAATATTAGTGGAATCCAGTAATACTAGGATATAGGTATAATTCTTTACTAATGTTAAATAAACTAATTTTTAATTAATTTAACTAAAATTTTATCTTATTTAATTATTTAACTGATAATCTTATTTAACTGATAATCAGTAGAAATAAAAAACAAATATGAACCTAGTAGTTATCCAATTTAACAATTTCCAAACAACTTTCAAATAATTATTTTAAATGTCAAAAACTGAAGCAATTGTAATCATTTTTTATTTATATTTCATTTATTTACTTTCTTTTAATTTTAGTTTTACAATAAATTAATTAATTGCTATTGTTTTTTGTACAAATTTATGTACCTTTTAGTTCTTAACTACCCAATGCTGTGTGCTAGAAGGTTAATAACACAACTGCATGGTAGGCAGCTGAATATCTTTTTAAAATAAACTATTATAAATTAGTTTTTAAAATAGATATCACAAACTTACAAACGCTGCATGAACTATTAGCTGAGCTCTGTGAGTACACACAACTCAGGGTTTCCATCTAGAATTTTTTTGTATATAGTTATATGTATTTTATTTTTTATTTGGTTGTACTTTACTCATCGCTAAACATATATATATATATATATATATATATATATATATATATATATATATATATATATATATATATATATATATATATATATATATATATATATATATATATATATATAAGGCCGGCGCGATAGGGGTGTATGGGAGGGGGGTTACACCCTCCTCCCCCATCAGTGATTTTCAGTCTGCAAATTAGACCCTTAGTCGGCAAATTGGACCCTTTTAGACTAGGTAGTCGGAAAATGTCGACCCTTTCGTTATATGTTAGTCGGTAATCTAGACAGTCGGCAAATGTCGTCATGGCAGTTGGCAAATTTTGGAAAACGAGGGCCTTTTTTTTTTTTTAGTCGGCAAAATGTATTGGCACCCCCCCCCCGTGAAACCTACTCGCGCCGGCCCTGTATATATATATAATGCAGATATATTTTTTTTGATGCCATTTTAGCTACATATTTGGCAATATATGAGATCAAAGCTTTTTTGTATTTAGATAGAATGCTGCAATTTTGAATATCTGCATATTCGTGGTCACTATTAGTTGGTTTTCTCTTTAACAAATCATATTTTTTTGTTAATTCAATTTTAGTCAGTTATTTTAGTACTGGAGTGAGTAAAAGAAGTCTAAAATTTTTGAAATATGAGTTTTATCTCTGATGCTGCAGTTTCCATTTGAACCCTAATTCACATCAAGAGTTGTTTAATGTGGCTGTAAACTGTTGGCAATTGATATTGTTGTTAAACATTCTTGCAGATCTCACAGCTATATAAGATCTCACAGCACAATAAAAAACTTGTTAGATGGGCTTATATGTTAAATATTTTTATGGCAAACCTTCTTTTTCTACTCAGTCGAGATATATATTTTAATTGCCAATGAAACCAGTTTTTAGACTAGACAAATTCATTTGCTTAACAGTTAATCTCTTTAAGACTAATGATATAATTATATACCATGTCAAGAAATGGAAAACAAAGAGCATTGCTGAAAATAGGTTTTGTGAATTCAATATGTGATGTAATCCATCTTTTATGCAAATAAACTCAACAACATATTTATATAATTATTTAACTGCAACATACAGTTTAATAATATAAAAAAGTCAGCCTTTATATAAACTTTAACATATAACCATAATACTTAACAGCAGGTAAACAGTATATATAACTTTAGTTAATTAAATATTTCAAAGAGGTGCTTTGAATATTTCTATATTCAAAATTAAATTTTTTTTTTTTCAAACTAATGTTTGTTTGAGGATGTAGGTCCTATGTAAAATTTGTTACATACATCCTCAATTCTATTGAGTGATCATCCTTTAAATTATAGAAAATTATTATTTACTTTTTATTTTTTTTAAAGTTGATATAAATAACTATAATTCAGACCTGTTTTTTTTTATCAGCATAAATCACACTTTAGAATGTTTTATTCAAATAATTTATGTAATAATAGAATCATAATATAATTTTTGAAGGAACCCCTGAGTTTGTATACTCCTGTATACTGACTCAGTTAATAGTTCATGCAGCATTTGTACAAAATGGTCTCTTGCTAAAAAAAATAGAGAATATAAATTGAAGGTAAATATGATTGCTGCTTACCATGCTATTATGTTATTAACCTTCTAGCATACAGCATTGGGTAATTAAGAACTAAAAGGTACATAAACTATATACAAAATTTAACTAAAATTGAAAATGCAATTTAATAAAAAATTAAATTATTCAAAAATAAAATAATTTCTTTTTTTTTCCTCTAATATTTATAAAGTTTATTTGTTTTCTTTTATTTTTGACTAATTTATTAGCCTTATTTAATTATTTTCTATCTTACTTTGATAAAGCAATATAAAATCTATATTTGTTTCACCGCTAGGAACATAAATCGCCGCCATTTTGCTCAGGTTGTTTAAGGCCAGTCTCGGGTTTACTTCGATTATCTGCGGGTGACGTAATTATTTATCGTTCAGTTCTTGCGGGATGATTTTAAAACGTTGTTTTACAATATAGCGGTGACTTGAAAAGCCCGACAAGAAAGTTTTTTGAGCAATTATTAATTTTTCAAATATATATCATGAGTTCATAACATGCTATGAATTATCATATAATACAATGAATTCATAACAAACCATATTATTTATTGTTCAAATCTTAAATATTACGAATTATTAACCTACCTGACAAATTAATTCTGTTGTTACGACCCATCAAAAAGCCATTAAATACAAATCGTTAAGTATTAACGAATTCCCGACATTTAAGAGTTTTTCGTTGTAAGAAATGACAAAACGTCGGATTTTCTGCCTGACCTTCTAGATAAAATTATGGATTAATGGTAGAACACAATATCAATGTCGTTTAGGTCGCATATTACTAGAGAAGTTGTTACTAACCATTTAATTGCTTATTTTATCATATATTTATCTTTTAGTTAAAGGAGAATTAAAGTCAACCTCCATATTGTCGTCACAAAACCACCAACCCCTCCCCCCCTAACGAGCCCTAATATGCATTCCATTTTTTTTTTTATGCGTTTAATTTAAAATTTTAAGTTTGGCGCACTTTTTTAAAATGAGCTTAATTTTGTCTGAGATTGTTTATCCTATTTTACATTTATATAAACATTGTATTTTAAACAAACATTACTTACGTAAGATTTAAATAAAATGTTTTTAATTAACTAGTTAATTAAATACTTTAAATAACTAACTTAAGATTTAAATAAAAGTATGAAATTTCAATAAGTCACAAGCTTTTCATAGTAAATATTTTGTTTGTTTAATTCCTACGTGGGAAATGTAACTAATTGAACTAATATAAATATAAACTTTAAATATCTAACTTGGAACTAAAAAATTATTTTAGTTACAGGGTGGCCACAGCTTCTTTAAAATCCTATAAAGTCCTCATTTGTTAAAATCTCCTCTGAAATCGTCTATTAATAATAGACGTAGATAATAGAATTATCCTCTTAAAAGTTGAAAATGTTATCAAATCTCCTCTTTGACTTTTCTTTTTTATTTTTTCGTTTCTTGATGGTAGTACAAAGCTCAAAATTTCTGGTCTGCAAAACTGTTTAATGACTAAAAGTGCAATTAGGTTGTAAAAAATTAATTTTAGCAAATCCATGTCAATAATAATCCATGTCTAACATAAAAAATGGCACTGTCCAAACCCCAAACATGTGGAAACATGGATGTTGAATCTTATTTTAAAAATCCGTCAAAATCTTCTATTTTTATTTAAAATTTTGTAGTTATGCAAAAAAAAATCCTCTAAGTTATATGCAAAATCAATTATAAAACCTCTGATATCCTCTTTTTCTTATAAAAGTTTTATGCGGCCACCCTGAGTTATTTGTTTTAGTTATTCGTCAAGTTAATATGGAAAAAGTCCCTAATATCAATAACATTAACGTGCTTAAAATATTTATGTTTTAAAACCAGCTGTATTTCAAAAAATGCAGAAAAGAAATGCAAATGTGCCGCTGAAAAATGGAAATAGTATCCTGAATGATTGTAATATTAAAAACAAAGGAGGAAAAAGAAAAATTGGAAATAATAGTCATAATAGTTTACCGGTATATTTAGTGATTTATTTTTATTCAATGTATATTTTTTTATAAGTTTAAATTTTTGTAGGTGCCTGCTTATTAATTTATTTCTTTTCTTATTAATTTAATTCTTTCTCTTAAAAATAATATATTAATGCCCATGTCCAGAGTGATCAATAGGCCCTAACAATTAGTTTGATGCATGTTTTTTTTCTTTTTCTTTTAACTGCAAAATAGCCTTTGCATATCATCGTTTGTTCTTTACATTATAAAAAATGTATGAGGAAATAGATATGTTTCCTATATAGAGTTCTGCTAAATAAAATGCAATGACTTTGTATTTTAAAATACAAAGACATTGTCAATGTCTTCAGCATTAAAAAAAAAAGAAGATAAAAATCAATCAAAAATTGATGTTTTTGTCTTTATTTTTGTTTGTAATTTAAAATAATCTAATTAGTAAAAATAAATAATAGCTTAGTTATCTTTACCAATCCTTGATAATAAAAATACAAATATAAAAAGGTATTTATATGTTCAGAATTTAACGCTAAATAAATATAAAAAGAATTTAACGTTAAATAAAAAAATAAATATTTTTTTGAACAAGCAAGAAATTGTTTCAGCAGTCCAAAATGTAAATGTTTGATTATCAATTAATATTTTTTTTTTATGGTTTTTGTAAAAGCAATAATCACAATTTTTATTACATCACATTGGCATTTAAAAAAGTTAAATTAATTTTCATTAAACATTTTTTGTGTTTTTGTATTTATTTATTTTGCAAATGAATTTTGCGGCCTCCTTCCTTGTGGCGAAGGCAACTTAATTAGGTGGAGACAACTTGACTTTAAAAAAAAATAAAAATAAAACAGACAATTTTATTATGATAAAAAAAGGAAGAGTTTACAAACCTTGGATAAAAATGGCATTATGGAAAGCCACCCAGATATGGAACAATAAACATTAAAAACAAAGAATTATGTTATTGTCTATTAAATTATATTTATTAACTTAAGAGGTTAGCATATGTGTCATTGACAGGTGTGTTTCATTATAAACTGAGAATACACTTGCTACTTTAATTTTCAGTAATCAAACAAAAAATACTAGTTTTAAATTGTGAATATTCAAGGTTTTATTTTCAGTGCTGCCAAATATTTGTACTTCTCATTTTTCTTATGATATTCATAATGTTTTTGCCATATTTTAATCAAATGTTTGAAATTGTTTACTGGTTGAGACAACATACATTTATATCATATTAAAAATTTGATGTAATAAATTATTTAAATAAATTAATTTTTAATAATAAGTCTGTAAATAAATCTGAATCACTGTTTTGTGCAGCATATATTGTCTGGAAAATTTTTATTTGTTTCTGTTTCTGATATAATAAAAAAAAATTTGTTGACACAAAATATTTATAAATAAATTGGTTTATATGCAGTTGTGTGTTTACTCTAACTTAAAATCTCAAGTAATTTTAATTTAATTGAGTATAAATGTAAAATCAACTTTCTAGACTTTTTATAAAGTAAATGCAACACTCATTGTTTTAATGATAAACAATTAATTTTTATCATCTATAATGCTATCATATTTTTTTAATCAAATGTTTAATAAGTAAACTATAGTTAAACTATCTTCAAAAAGTTTAAATTTATTGTTAAGATATTAAGTTATATATTAAATATAATCTTCAATAATTATTTCTTTTAATTTTAATTTTTAATTATTATTAAATTATTAATTATTTTAATTACTATTTAATTATTTCTTTTTTAAAGTTTAAACTTTACTTCCTAATCAATTTTTTTTTTAAATGTTTAGTGTTTAACTGATAAAGATAGTATAATTTACATTAATTTTTAAATTTTGGAATATTTACTTTTCGGCACTTAAAAAAAAAAATTATTTTATAATTATTTTATTTCTCTTTTTAGCTTAATTGAAAATTTTCTTTATTAGGATGATAAAGTGAGGAAACTTAATTTTGGTGAGTGTTTAACTTGTTTATGGTATAGGTCGATTTTCATGTTACATGTGTGACTCTGGTACAAATATTTTCAAATAAAAGAGGCATTAAAAAATTGTTTACTACAGATATGCAAGATATATATTGCATATACTATAGTAGGAGATGTATCTGATATAAAGTAATATCTCTTTTAACAATATGTTTATTGCACATACTAGTAAAAGAACTGATTAGTTTCGTTACGCGTGTGACTCGTATAAAACAATAAATTTGAATTTTAAAGGTTACAGAGAGCAGGTTAATGTTTATAAAAAATACTTTTATTTTTTAAAATTTCATTAACATAAAAATAAATGATAATCTTTAGTGTTACATATGTGACAAATTTTGTTATGGTGTGACAATGTACGAACCTTTATTAATTTAATAAATTTTAAACAATTTTTTTGAAGTTTTTTTTTTCAACTTTACTAAAATAAAGATAAAACTGAGTAGCAATTTTGTTATATAGTTTTTTTTAAGTTTCAACTTTTTAAGCTATATTTTATCAGGGTACATACAGTATTGGCTATTAATAACAATCCAACATGTTTTTTTAATATTGTTGGACTTTGATTGATATTAAATCAATGATTGTTTGACTCTTTATGAATATAAAAATTGTATATTGATGAGCATTTTATTTTCTTTCAAATAAATATAAATATTCATAAAAATATTATTCGATGTGCAAATTATATTGCTTTTTTTTGACATATGTCTCATAATCTAAAATAACTATTATGGCCAAAATTAACAATCCATTGTATTATTTCAAATCTCCTTCAAAATTTTATTTGTCTTGGATTAAAACATTGCACTTATTTGCGAACCTTTTATAATTATCTAAGATTTTTTATTTTAATTGTTATAAATATTTGAAAAATTTGTGTAAAATGAAATAGAAAAATCAATATCTAATTAACTACAATATTCCAGCAATAAAACCATCAAATTGACTGGAAAAACTGTTGATAATATAACAAAATGTAAAATCATAGTAATGAATAAACAAAACATCTTAATGAGAGAAATCTTCTATGTCATGGAAGACTCAGCATTTCAAATAAAAGAAATGAATGTTCACTTATTCGCAAAGTGAAAAAAAAAGAATATATTTTTCATCTACTGATCTCAGTCGAAAAAGACAAAAAGCTTCTGGTGTTGTTGCTAGTGTCTGGTGTTGTTGCTAGTGCTCTGGTGTTGCTGCTAGTGTCTGGTGTTGTTGCTAGCGTCTGGTGTTGTTGCTAGTGTCTTGTGTTGTTGCTAGTGCTCTGGTGTTGTTGCTTGTGCTCTGGTGTTGTTGCTAGTGTCTGGTGTTGTTGCTAGTGTCTGGTGTTGTTGCTAATGCTCTGGTGTTGTTGCTAGTGCTCTGGTGTTGTTGCTAGTGCTCTGGTGTTGTTGCTAGTGCTCTGGTGTTGTTGCTAATGCTCAAACATTTGAAGAGTACTACAAAAACTACTTCTATTGATAAAAAATCAGACAAAAAAAACAAGACAAAACTGGCGCTTAGCTCATAAAGTTTGATCTATGAGCATGTTTCACAACAATCTTTTCACAGATGAAATAAATGTTGAAGTTGATTTAAGAAAAAAACCAAGTATTGCTGAGAAGAAAGCCACATAACAAAATGGAACTAAATTGTTCAACGAATAGAACAAAACATGGTAGTGGTAGTATAGGCATCTTGGGCCTTCATGAACTATAAAGGCATTGGTCGTTTCTAAATATTCGATGAAAGGCTTGATTCTATAAGATATTTAGATATATTGGATAATTTTTTGATAATTATTTGATTCCTTTTATTGATATTTTCCCAAAAGTCATGGGAATCTTCCCACAAGATAGTGCTACATGCTGCTAGGATTTGCAAGCAATTGTATGAGAAAAACATCATTAAAACTATGTCTTGGCCTGCCAATAGTCTAGATCTCAATTAAATAGAGAATTTGTGGTCTAGGTTAAACCACAATCTTGGTAAAATTGAAATAAAACGATCTAGACCAGATGAAAGAATTAGTAACAAAATTACTGAATAGTGGTCAAAAAGAGATTACTCAGAATTTAGTGAACTCCATGCCAAATCATACCAATGAATGCTTAAAAGCAAAAGGATTGTCAACAAAATATAATTTTTTTTTTTTTATGTTTTTTATAAGTATTTTTTTATTAAGGTTTGTTAGTTTTGTTTTTGTGGTTAGTTTCTTTTGGATACATTTTTTTTTTAATTCATATGAACACTTGTTTTAATTTCAATATTTTAGTTTTTAATTTTTTTAATTTTTATTACTTTATAATAAAATTATATTGTGATTTATTATTTGATTTATTTCAACGAAAAAAAAACTTAGAAAATAATCATTTTTAGTTGATAAAATATTTAATTTCAAACTTATATTCATACTAAAATGGATTGTTATTAATTGCCAATACTGTAGTCTCATTGTTCTTCACAAGGCACCAATCACTAAATGCCGTTTCTGAAGATTGGGAAAATATTTTGGGAGCTTACATGTCATTAATATAGTTTATTTGAAAATCAGATGACTTTAGACCACTTGTTTTGAAAAATGACTTCTAACCAAGGTTTTTTGTTTTCTATTTAAATGATTTCATCGTTGCTAATATAGAGAATATTAGAAGCTATCGTTGATGGTTTGAAAACATTGAAATTGAAAAAATCCATAGACATTTATACACGTACTTACTCATTCTTGCTAAATATAACATTTATTGTGTTTGGAGAGAGTATTACTGGAATATAACATTTCATTTGAACAAGAGACTTTTTCCTTAACTCTTCTTCCGTAACCTTCTACATCCCTTTTTCTATGTGGTGTACTTCACGTTAGTAAGTGACCGGGTCCCCGGTCCTGGCTAAAAACAGCGGTTTTTGCAAACCCGGCCCCAGCTAAACAAACACAATTTGCATGGGTTACTAGCCGGGGCTGGATTTTTGTTGTTGTTGTTGTTTTTTGTTGCTTTTTTTTTTATTTTGTTCAAGTTAAAATTTGTTATGAAAGTTTAAGAAAATATAAGAAAAAGTCACAAAAATAATATATACAAATATAATATAATTCATAAATATTTACAATGACAAATAAGAAATAAGGCACTTTATAATAATTTAAGTTTCTTTCTCTGATTCTGATGATTCTGAACTAATATTGGAAATTTTTACAGACTTATTTTTAATGAATACTCTGTTTTTACCAGTCAAAAAATAGGAAGTTAGAAAAATTGACTTCTGTTGAACAAATGTTTTAAAATACTTATTTAAAATTTTTTTTTTTCTAGACATATTATGTAAGTGTCAATGTTTATGTAATACCAAACATTTAAAAAATCAGACATAAAAAGTCAGACACAGTTATTAAATGCAATTAAACCATTAATTAAAATGTTACGAAATGAGTTTTACTATTTTATTAAATGTTTATTTTTACTTTATTATTAATTTTTTTTTATAATTTTAAATTTTTTAAATAGTTTTAACAAAAATAAATTCAATTATTTTCTAGTATTTATCAATTTCTTTACATTTAAATACTTGAATAGCTCAACAATGTAATTCTAATGATTAAAGTTACAATTAAAAAGTTACTTACATTTTAAATATAAATGCAATTTTACAATAAATTTCTCTTTTGAAATTTATTTTAGGATGTTTAAACACCCTGATTGTTAGCAATTTTTTAATATTTTTTCAAATTATTAACATTGTTTAAAAATTTCAATCAATTTATTACATGATGGCCACTGATTTTTCTAGAATCTCCAGGTTGCTGGCTTCTTTGTTCTTTCATCCAGAAATAATAAAGTAGATCAGATAGATGTATGGTGTCTTTAAAAGATAGGAAAAGAAGCAATGATATTAGAGAGAGTATGAGAGTAGTAATTATATTTATAGTGTGTATCAGAGAAGGTTATAATGATGCCAATGATTAAGATAATGATGATGATCATTGTCATCATCATCATCATCATAATCATCTTAATCATCATCAATTATTTGCTTGATGATAATGATGATGATGATGATGATGATGATGATGATGATGATGATGATGATGATGATGATGAGGATGATGATGATGAGGATGATGATGATGATGATGATGATGATGATGATGATGATGATGATGATGATGATGATGATGATGATGATGATGATGATGATGATGATGATGATGATGATGATGATGATGATGATGGTTTGGTTAAACAAAAAAGAAATCCTTAATGAAAAAGTTACAATTGTAATTCTAAGCAAACCAAAACAAAACAAAAACAGCATCTGCGTATAATAATTTTTCCTTGCAACTTAAGTTGTATTTAATTAAAATTTTATATTTTGTGTTTATTCACCAATTTTAAGAACACTTTTCCTTTTTTAGTAGAAGCATCTTTGTTATATGGGGAATTAAACCAAGTTGTGTTTCTAATTCTGATTTCCTTTTTTGTATTCTTTTTTATAAATTTAAGTTCAAAATTTTGAAATGCACTTTTTTTAAGGGCATCTCTCGATATTAGTTCCCTAAAAAATTTAATATATTCATAATATTTTTAGAAATAAATTAAATTTACAACAGTGAAATAACACCACTTACATCATTTCATAAAATGGTTCTTTATAATTAAATGTGCAAAAGACTGTACATTTATTCAATTTGACATTAATGATTTTTACTCCATTGTAACTGCAGATATTTTAGATAAAAAAATTGAATATGCAAAAATCTACAATTACTATAATAAAGGTTAATGGAAAAAACATTTTGATAAGTGATTTTATACTAATTTACATATTTGTAATTAGGGTTTCCATAAAGTAGTTATGCAAGTATGGGGAGGAGGTTATCCAAAATTGTACAAGTTTGTAGAAGGGTTGGAGAGGGTTAATTTGACAAGGTCAGAAAAATATTAACTAGCTCTCAAAACATTGACTGTTAAAATGATATTTTTAAAATAAAAATATT